CAATTGAATTTTACTTACAAAAAATAGTTATAATAAAATTTACTTTTTATTGTTAAAAGTTTCTCGTACTTCATTAGTCAAGTGTCTATTTTTGAACCTGGGTAACCGTTACCAAAATTCAGTTAATAAATCACAGCCTTGCCAAAGTATGAAGGGTAACGGTACAGGTGAGGAAGAGTAGCGGAGCGGCATTTTTCTTTTTTTTTTTTTTCTTGAACGATGTGATTTACTATTATTTCTTTATTTCAATTTTATGTTTGTTTTCTTTTTGTGTTGTTGCATAAGTATGTGTTAAAACAAACTTGTTTTCAGACACTGAAACAGATTAGCGTGAACTCAATTTCACGTTATGGAAGTTTGAAAAAAGAACCTGCAACGTTTATTGATACTATATACAAATTATTCATAGGTTATTTACATATTATTCACATCATAAATTGGAGAGAATTTTATTTGACAACAGGAAAGCTATCATGGGACTTAGGGAGGATGTTTTCATGTAAGAGCTCTAGATTGAAAATATCATTAAAATTTGACGTGCCACAATTTTGTGCTTTACTATAGAAACTAGCATTGAGATTAACAATATACTTTGAGAGAATAATTAGTTTGAGCTCACCTCGGATTATCTGATTTCGTACAAAATAGGGGGAGGGGGTTTGTATAGCGTCATCATCACCATCAACAAAATTGATGTGGGCACCTGAGGTCGCTTACGGCTCTTTTCCCGTCCATCTTAAAGTTTTAACCCTAAGGTGGTGCTATCTGGTACCTGGAGTGAAAAGAAAATTAAATATTTTGTATTCTAGATAATGATGCTTCGCTACAAAAATGAGTAGCCATTCGGTTTGTATAGCATAATGCATTACATTAGATATCGATGATACATTACATTAGATATAGATAAAATCGCTTCATCGCGTAGTTTAATTTTGGAAAATGCTGTTATTTTGAAGCGTTCTTACCTGCTACATAAATTAGTAGTTTGAATTGGTAACTTTTTAAAGGATTTAAAAAACTACAGACTAATTCTTTAAATTTTTAAACAATTAGTCTGTAGTTTGGGAAAAGTTGATCATCAACTTTTAATTTTTTAGGACGTGGGTGCCATGTTTTTGGCACGGTGTTTACGTACCTCAGGTCTGATAAAGTTGACCGGTGGCTTGAAGCTACAACTTTCCTACACCCATAATGTTAAAAAAAAGTTGTGGGGCCAGTAGCCTATCACGTCCGGGTCACCAATCAGGGGCTAGTTGTTGTCGACCTCCGTCTATAAAAAGATACCCCACCGTTAGATACACTACAAAAGTGTCATTTTTTTTAAACATTATCTGAAAATTGACACAACAAACAAGCTCGAAATTTTTTCTTAGTAAATAGATACATTCCACATGCATATTTTTTATAGTATTTCTCCTAAAATGTTCTTAAAATTTTTAATTTTACTTTAGACATTTATTTTTTAGTATTTTTACCTTTCATATTTTTAAATGGCTTAATTTTACTCTATAATACGCTTTTCTTTTTTTCAGTGCTTTTACATGGCGTGTTCTCGCCAAGTACGTAGGTTAGCGTCTGTCACTCTGTCGCCTATTCTGAGTTTCTTTTCGGAGACTGTACAAGGAGTAAGCACTATTAGAGCATTTGGCGCACAATATCAGTTCATGGACAGGGAAGATCGCCAAATAGACACCAATTGCAGGGTATTCTACAGCAATACTTTACTCAACAGGTAATTTAAGAAAACAAAAAATTTCTCTCTAGCTTTAACGCACAATAATACCTCATATTTGTACGATAAAATAATGTTGTTTGCACATGTCTTTAGTAAACCGCAAATTATTTTCAAAGTAGAAAAGAAATTTATACATTAAAATGAAACAAAAAAATAATTTTTACTCGCCTGTTTTCTATTCACTTTCTAGATAGACTTCATTAATGTAATAGTGAATTTCAGAATAAGAAATGTCCACTCACGTTTTTTGCGTCTCAGAGTTTGTGGAACGTGAGACGGAGGTTGTCTGTCCGCGAATTGCCAAACCATACCGTAGGGTTGAAAGGGTTGGCGAAAATTTATATTGGCATTAAAGGTGCGTTCTCGCCAATCGACAAACAGCTGTGCTCTTATGTTTTTGTTTTATATCACAGACATAATTGTTTGTATCTGTCCCTGTCCGTGTTTCGTGTTATTCGTTTATTACTTTATGTCCAGCTGCAGGCTAAAATCAAGATGGTTTGATTGCAGTGGGCCACGCCTTAACAGTTTAAAAGTTATGCTTAAAATAAAATAATAAAAGTATAAGAAACATAATAAACACAATTTTGTACTTATATTGTTACATTTTTGATATTATATTTTGTAAAAATATTATATTTTTGAATGATCTGACGTTGCTGTTGAAGCAAAGTATTTATTTATTTATTTTTTTTATGTATTCTTTTATGCTGAATCAAAAGTGGTTAAAATAATGTTGATAACACCTATATTTAAGACTTTCTAATGACTTTGTATACGGGGTGTCCAAAATTTATATAGACGGTCCATTTTCCAGAGAAATACACATGGGATAAAAATTCATAACAGATTTGATTAGATTTGTTGTGAATTCTTATCCGATGTGTATTTCTCTAGATGAAATAAAACTACAAATTTGATGATTGACGTGTATTCCTCTTGAAAAAAATAATTACGAATTCGAAATATTTTCAAACAATTATTCAATGCTAACAAATGCCCTTCAGGGACAGATATAAATAAGTTATAAAATTTATAACTATATTTATCAAACATATCAACTATTTGTATAGTTATAATAATTTCTGCTCACAACTGTAAAATCAATTGTTATATCGCTACCACTACAAATAAGCTTAATAAAAAAGTGTGAAAACTGTAAGCCTATTTTTCTGAGAAATCTAATTCACATCATACAATGTTAAACTAGTGCCACGTGGAAACTGAATCTGTATACTTAGATTAAATATGAGGAATAAATTTTGATTGTAATCTGAAAGAATATTTATGTTTATTACATTAATTAATTTAAGAATTTTTGTTTTTCAAAGACTGTGCTGATCTTTTAAAAATTACACTTGAAAAACTAATAATTGATTAGCGAAGTGAAAGAAGTAGTTTTAAGAAAAATTTTCCTATTCATAAATTTAAAGAAATTTCGATGATTAATAGATGCTGTTTTCAGGAGATTTTACATTTAACGATAAAAAAGGCACCAGTATTTCATGCTGTTAAATACTAAATATCATATTTTCACTTCTTTTAACCTTAATTGATACAAAATAATGAAAAAAAGAATTAAAAAAATGTTTAATAGAAATTTTGCATCAAAGATTAACGATTTAAATATTATGATAGGGACTTATATATTTCGTTGATTGTTTTTGGGCAAGAAATAGAGACAAGATATTATTATTTATTTTCTCTTGTCAGCGTAAACTTAAGTAATTTACTCAAATTAACTAAAATTTCATTTAAAACCTTCTGTCACTAAGTTCTTCAACTGTACAACTGAAAGCATTCATGAAGATGGTTGAGAAATTAAATCTTTCTACATGGTTTCTTTTCAGGTGGCTGGGAGTAAGGCTACAATTTCTGGGCAACATGGTGGTCTTTATCACTGCACTACTTTCTGTGGTGGAAAGGAGAGAATTCAGTGCAGCAATCGTTGGTTTAACATTGTCTTATGCTCTCAGTGTAAGCATCTCTTATCTCATTCACCAATCTCATCTACCATCGAGGAATTATTTACGTTTTAATTTTCCTATTCTACATTCTATGTCCGAACCACAAAACATCGTAAATGAGAGGTGACTGTTTACAAACCATGCCATAAAAATTGGCAAACTGCTGGGGAAAAAAAACTCGATCCAAATTAGTACCCCCGTTTTCGAGTTATTAGCAAACATACATCAAGATATTTAGCCGACCAGCTGGCCGAGTGGTCAGCGTGCCTGACTGCGGAGCCGATGGTCGCGGGTTCGAATCCTGCTCAGGGCATGGATGTTTCTTTCTCTATGTGTGTGTTCTATCTCCTTTGTGTGTGAATGACCGGATTTGTGGTTGTGTGACGTGGACGACGTTGCTCCACCGCCGTGGCTTCGCCACGGGTGCCCAATGGGTAACGAGAAGAGATTAGCAGTTCTGGCATTTCTGAGGGCAATGGGACTACGACCCAAGTGCCCGCCATTAAAAAAATTTAAAAAAATAAAAATAAAAAAACATTAAGATATTTCGCTTTCACATTGAAAGAGAAGATATACAGGGAATCTGCTACATTTCAGATTTTCAAATTTATGACTTTCCACGACTAACTCCAAGAATTTTTCATGATCTAACGAAGTTACTACTTTCGCAGACAAAAACACAACAATAAATTTAAAAGAGCATTATAATAACGTTAATTGAAATGTGTAACCAAAACTGTTATACTCTGCATCTTCATGTCTATAGATTTTAAATTTCAAAAACTGAGTAAAGAAAGAGTTAAAGCTATAAAATAGCTCGAAAAAAATACAAAAGCAAATAATTTTTTTCTCTTTTTTTCTGCAGAATCATATTCTGAAGATACTTTTCTTGTTCATCGGAAAGGAAAGAAATACTCCTGATTTTTCTGTTATCATTTCGGAATTTAAAAAATTCACAAATGACTGGCTTGCTTCAGCTAGGATATTAAATTGATAAAATAAAATAAAAATATTAATAACAAAAATTCTGAAATCACAGAAGTTTTCAAAGATAACTCGCTCTAGAAAAGATGTTTTTTCCTTCATTTTTTGAAAGAACTCCATAATTTTTAAAGAACATGATAAAAACATTTTATATTTAATGAAATATTACTCTGAGAGGGGATTTTGTTACAAATTCAGATATTCGGAACACTATTAAATTGGGAGAGGGGGGGGGATACCATTTTAAAAATTAGATTTTTCAACGACCTAAATCCATGACTTTCCGTGATTTTTTTTTAAAAAATAGTTAAAATCCTGACATTTCATGACAAATTTTGTTCAATACCGAAATTTATGACTTTTTATGATTTCTCATGACTTTACAGGTGCGCAGATGTCCTGGAAATATTAAGCGTTCTTTTTCAAAAAATGCAACTCGTTTTTTTAGGTTACAGAAAATTTGTCAACTTTTGTGAGGTTGCTAACGCAATTAGAAAACCACATGGTCTCTGTGGAGAGAATTAATGAGTATTCAGACTTAACATCCGAAGTAAGTACCTTTATTTGTTTAACATTCTCTGACGAAGCGATTAAATTTCAGCTGATAATTTATATCATAATAATGTAATGCACAGAAAAATAATTAACGTAAGTTTTAGAATTTTTTTTTAAAATTCTAGGGAACGTGTGAAATATTAATCGTTTGCATACTTAGCCAGTTTTTCAATATTCATTATATGGATGGCTTACTGAGTTAAAAACAGTAATTAGATTCAAAACCAGAACGAAGTCTTGAAAACTTCCGGCTGACACTTCCGCTAACGTTATGTTTAAGGAGCGATGATTGGACAGTCTTAATATTCTTGGATGCTTAGTCGAGATTATATTTAAATTTATACATAATTTTAGAAATCATAAAAGGTAACGAACCATAAATTGAACCATAATTAACCATGTTTTAAACAGTTATGTTATCTACATTACTGTTTAAAACATGATGGCAAACCTTATATGTTATCTACAGTTTTTTATGTTTTCAGTTAAAGCGAAATGGATTTGTAAATTGAATGGTAAATAATACCAACAATATTGTAAGCAGTACAAGTACAATAACGATTAAGGATAGAGTATTTTTTTTAAAGCTTAGACGTAAAAATAAATCGGAAATACTAAATCGGAAGTTTTGTTACGAATTTTAACTGCAAGCTCCACCTCTGCTTATCCTTATATGGTTAAACACCCATGGAATGCCTAGGCAATGTGTGAAATATTAATCACTTCATAATTTTTCAGTTAATTTTAGGACTCAATAAGAAGCTAGATTTTATACATTGACGTTAACATTTAAAAAAAAAAATTTAGTGTGATAGAAGTTTTGCAAAAATAAAATGAATCGCTATTTATCATCCAGCGCTTGATTTTAAAAAATTATTATAGTCATTCATTAATATGTTACATAGGATGCTGATTTCTTAAACAATTATTGCAGGCTTCTTGGGAAACAGAGTGCAGCGATTGTGTGCCAAGCAATTGGCCAAGCAGAGGCGCTATATCCTTCAGAGGCTACAAGATGCGTTACAGGCCTGGTATGGATTTAGTTTTGAAAGAAATAAACATGGATATTGCTCCATCTGAAAAGGTAAATCCTTTCTTTAAAATACAATGCACCCCCTTAATATATACTTTTTTAAAAACTAAAGTTGTGCAAAGTCCCGTAATGGACAGATTGTTAAGACACGTTTCCCAGCAGATCACCGAAGTCAAACATCACTGGCTGCTATCAGTGGGCGAGTGACCATCTAGATCAGTCTGCGTAGGGACCGAGGGTGTGAGGTATCTGTTCTGTTCTACCGTAAAGTGCTCGTCTTCGCGTGCAGGTCGTCGGGCTACCGAAGCGGGGGTGCCATCCCCTCTGCAGAGGATCAAAATTGTGATGGCATGTCTTCGGATCATCCTCAGTGATGTTTCCCAGACCGTCGCCATTAGCCCATTGTGCAGCTCTAGTGCGACGCAAATGAACTACAACAACTAAGTCGCAAAAGTATACTTAGATAACAAATTAATAGTTGTGTAAGGTAAAAAAAAAGTAAATTTACTGTTGTTTTAAGCCATTAAGGCACAGGAGATTCGATTGTTCTTGTTGTCCAGTGGCGTTATCTATGGCCAAGAATTCGACTTCTGTCACAGCCACGGGTCACACCCGTTTATAGGACGGACCCATTCATACATCCATTCATTCAACCACATATCGCAATTTTAACCTGAACCACGATCAATCTCCAATCCAGTACCCCTAGAGGTTCAGTTTAGTCAATTTACTCTTAAAGCATATTAAAGAAAATTTGCTAAGTTCAAATTATAATATACTTGTCAAATAAAAATTCAATTTATATATCAGTTGTTGTTGTAGTTCATTTTTACGTCGCACTAGAGCTGCACAAACTTCCATAAATTTATCATTTTTGGGTGTTTTACAATGCGTTAAATTCTAGAGTGTAAAAAATGATACTGCTGTTATGAATTAAGTAAATTTTCCAAAAAATAAAACTAACTACATAATTTATTACTCTTTTATTTCTTTATACATTTAAATATTGCTTAAAGTAAGAGTTATGTTCATTACTGCATATTAATAGAGCCGCACTGATCGCTGGGTACCTAATGTTTCTTTCAAAAATAATTATGATTTCGCATCAGTTCCATAGAAATCCACGTTATACTGTGAAAAAACTAATGTTTCTAGGATTTTTCATAATATTTAAAATAGTTCTAGAGATAACTAAGTTAAGCTTATTTTCTTTCCGTATTTGTTTCATTTGAGGACATAAATACATAATGTTTAAATAGGATTGCTGCAATGATACTTTTGTATTTTAATAATAGTATTCAAATTTTGTGCAACTAGAATACTATTTTATAGAGAAATTTTCGAAAATCAAGAATTGTTAAAATATATCATGTTTTGTCCAACAACAAAAATTTGAAATTGACATTTTGCAAACAATTTCAATTAACACCATTTTTATTTTCCTTTTCTTAAAAATATTTTTCCCCCTACTTTAAACTGCAGTTTTTGACTGTTATAATTCATATTAAAACTACTTTTTTGCGACAAATTATTTGACCACAATCAGTTGTAGAAAATTTGAACGCAAACTTTTTTATATTTCTTATACAGTACAGTGTTTGTTATACTTTTGCATTTCGATTTTGCTCCAATTTCGATAATGTTTCTCACATACAATATTGTTATTTTAGGTTGGACTAGTTGGAAGAACTGGAGCTGGAAAGAGTTCTCTAGCATTAGCTTTATTCCGTGTCATCGAACCATCGAGTGGTTCTATTCACATTGATGGCATAGATATTTCCATATTGGGATTGCACGATCTACGCTCAAAGATCACCATCATTCCTCAGGTTGTAGACTATTTTACGTACTACGATTTATCTAGCATTATCTCTAGCATAAGCTTTACACCATTTCTCTGAACCTTTCGGTGGTTCTATTCACATTGATGGCATAGATATTCCTATATTTAGATTGAACAATCTACACTCAAAACTCCCCATCATTCCACAGTTTGTAGACTATTTTACGTAATACGATTTGTCTAGCATAAGCTTTACACCATTTTTCTGAACCTTTCGGTGGTTCTATTCACATTGATGGAATAGGTATTCCTATATTTCGATTGCACAATCTACACTCAAAACTCCCCATCATTCCAGAGTTAGTAGACTATTTTACGTAATACGATTTGTCTAGCATTATCTCTAGCATAAGCTTTACACCATTTTTCTGAACCTTCCGGTGGTTCTATTCACATTGATGGCATAGGTATTCTCTTATTGGGATTGAACGATCTACGCTCAAAACATTGAATTGAAGTTGAACATTGGTAGTCGTAAACCCGAAAAATTGGATCGGCTGTTCAACGATGGTTATAAAATATAAAATAAAAAAACTGTATATATCAGTAATATCTTTGACTATCTTTAGGATCCTGTTGTGTTTGCCGGAACGCTGAGACTGAACCTGGATCCTCTGGATACACACAGTGATGAAGAGCTTTGGACAGCCATTGAACACGCTCATCTGAGTGATTTTGTCAGTTGTCTGGAAGATAAGCTAGATTACCAGATCACTGAAAGTGGAGATAATCTCAGGTACTCTCAAAAATAATTACAAGAAACATAATTTTATAGAAATTTGATACAAAACACGTACAGTGTTTAGAGTTTCAGAACACGTGACGCATTGGGCGGAATGTAATACACATTAATCTCACAAGCTTAGAAGATTGTGCTATTTGAAATATAATATATTATTAGAGCATCAGAATATTAGTCATAATAACCCGCATTGGTAAATGATAATAAATATTGCTTGCTGAGATAGCCTGGCTGGTAGGGCATTGGGCCCATGTCCAAGAGGGTGGTGGGTTCAATGCCAGCCGACCAAAGACTCCCCGTGTAGTAAATGGTGACTGATACACGTTAAATCTATCGAGTCACAAAGACTTCCATGTTCCCATAACAAATCATGCCTCTGGGGGTACTGATCGAGGAGTTTCCTTGTCTTCTGGATTGGTTCAAAATTACAAGGCTACGGAGTTGAACATTAATAGTCGTAAACCCAAAAACTGGGTAAGAAGTTCAGCGATGGATATAAAATAAATACTGATGTGGTGATAGGTTCGCCGCTCATCTATCTTCGCTTACTTCACTGATAATCATTATCACAACAGTTGTTATTCTTTGTGGTCAGCAACATACAACCGGTCACAGAACCGGTTGTAGGTTGGTTCTGCCATGTCCTACAACCGGTTCGCAGGAGAAATACCTCCTGACAATCGATTTGTTTCTGATGCACTGAATCTTCGTACATATGATGATCTGCTGAATCTGAGTGTTGCTCACCCTGTAAGTTGTTTTCCTGGATAGCATACTACACTGAGCAGTTCCCCGCGTTAGCTGCGTATTCGAAAAGCTGGACTTGTCCATTTTACTGGCGATCGAAATGGGCTGCAGGTGGAGTAGAGCAGAACTCTGTACCCATGGCAACACTTCGCATGCTTTCCCCATTAGCGTGTAAAGAGTCACAGGAGAAGGAAATATGTACGTTAACTTCTGTCTTCATTTCAAAATAGATTAAAAACTTTTCAAGTTAGGAAGCTATATGGAAATAAAAACTACACTGAACATAGTTCCAAAAGAATATTTGTGGCAATTAATATTTGTGACAATCAAATGCGAAAATTATATAAAAAAAAGGGGGAAAATATCGTACTACATTTCTATAAAACTGAGAAGCGCATGAGAGGGAGGGGTGTAGGGTCAAGCCATGGAACCGGTCTTTTCCGCAGATGGAGCATTCGAGCGTTGCGATGGCGAATATTCTTTGATAAAGATACGATAAAGGGGTGGTTTGCTGAGGTCATTCTAAATTGGCCAATATCTACTTAGTTTAAGCATAAATTTACCCCCACAAAATTTTTAAAAAAAATTGGCTGTTGATTACTGACACTTTTGACATATGGTGCCTGGTAAGTGATTTTTTTTCTCCTCCAATACATCAGCTTTACTTATTTATTTAGTTCTCTTTTAAATTCAGTGTTGGTCAGAAGCAACAATTGTGTCTTGCGAGGGCACTTCTGAAGAAGACTAAAATTCTGGTGTTGGATGAAGCGACGGCTGCTGTAGATTTAGAAACAGACAAGCTCATTCAGAACACAATCCGCACAGAGTTCAAAGACTGCACCATCATCACCATCGCACACCGGCTGTACACTGTCCTTGATTATGACAGGTGAGTAATTTCAGTATAATTGAACGTTAAATGTTAAAATGGCATTCGATTATTGTCCTAAGAAAGTACTGAATCGGTTTTTTTTTTAACCCTTTAATGGGCCCTTTATTTCTAGTGAAGGTAAATTAAGGTATTTTTGGAATTGAAATTGTTTTAAGAACAGTAATTAATATTAAAAAAACTCATTTAGTTTATAAAAATGCCATTTTTTTGGTGGTAAATATATTTAAGATGACCTGTTAGGAACTTACTGACTTTTATTTTTCTTTACTTATAAAATAAATTCCTTAAATGCTACAAACTTCGAAAGGAATTGTGTATTTTATAACTTTTACGCGTTTTTTAAAAGTGACAAATGGTTACCAATTTTATTCAAACTCACTTCAGGAAAGCTGAAGTTATTGAAAAATGGAAAACTAAATTAAAAGTGGTAAGACGTGGTGGTAAGTATACTTACCACGGCCTTCAAAAGGGTTAAAAGAGAACAATACATTGGTTGATTTTATTCCTTTTGATTATGAGGCGTAATTCCCCACCATGAGTTTTATGAAATTTTTAGTCTTTTTTTTCTTCTTTTTTTTTACTCTTAGAGTTAATTATATGACAAGAAATGTCTTAAGTTTCAAATTTTCCAAATTTAAAAAAAAAATAAGTTAAATCCAAAGATCTTGCAATGTCATATAGCTGTATCTACTTTAAGAATGAATGTTCTCCTTATTTATCGAAATATGTCCAGTAAGACAATGAAAATATAACTTTTTTTTAAATAATTTCATGATATATATATCGTAAAAGATAGCACGAGTTAAATTTCTGCCTGACCTGTTTAACTTTTAAAAGCTTTCATAGTGTTTTGAAAGCAGATTTGCACAATTTAATAGCGAAATAAAACGGATCTATTATGCAGTCGCCGATGATTACATAACTTCAATGCCGCAATGGAACTTGCAACAGAGTATAGTATTCTGAGAATAAATCAATTATGATATAAGATTAATTTTTACTTTTTTTTTCTTTTTTCTCTGCACAGGATTCTGGTGATGGACAGGGGAAGAATTGCAGAAGATGGTGCACCAGATGCCCTACTGCAAAATAAAGATTCACTTTTTTATGAACTCGCCTGCGCTGCAGGTTTACTATAATGTAGCCGGACTGCTTTTATGGAACTTTGAACATTTTAGTTTCTCTTTTTATTTGAAAATCTGTGTGTGCTTGTCCCGTTCTTAAACTTTTATAATAATAAAATGAATGAACACCATATATATGCAAGTTTATTTTCATGGCCTGATTGATTTATTTAATTCATAATTCAGTCTCAGATGCTTGCAGAGAAACTACAAGCAAATTTTAGAGACTTTCATTTAAAAAAAAAATAACAAAAACGTATACAGTTTTTTGGAAGCGTAGTAAAATGGCAAAACTCCCTGCCTTAACGTAGGCAGCGCATTTCTACGTTAGCAAGCTTAACTACTCATTGGGTAATGATTTTGTCGTTTTCTTTCATCAGTTGCCTTTATGCAACAATCTTTTATTTGTTTTATTCCTGGATTTTTTTTTCAGTATTTACAAGTTTTTTTTATTGTCTGTAGTGAAAAAATTCACGTTATTGAGGGAAAAGAAGAAAAAAAATTGTCTAATGAAAAAAAAAAGGTGTTTTAAAATTAAGCTTGCAGGAAATTCAAATGGGAAATTTTTTTTCCCTTCGAGTCATCAAACAATTCGAGAAGCATAAGTTCAATTTAACGAGGTATGACATTTTACGGTCTACTTTTCAGGTAGAGTTTTTATCACATGATAAAAACAGGTATTAGGAAGAGAACTTCATTATCTTTTTAACCATTAATGGTAAGAGAACGATCATTCCCGAAAAAATCAGAACTTCTGAATAAAAATTAGGGAAAATCTCACAAAATAGTCCCGATGATATGTTACGTCTTGTGAAAAAAGGAAAACCTGAGTAATTAAAACTAGTCCATTAAATAGGTCGAGGGAATAATGTGGTTCTCACGTCTAGTAAAGAGAAAACTATAAAATGTTAATTCATACATACTTGAGATCTCAATATAGAATACGAAAAAGAGAGAATGAATAATTAAGTATAAGAAAGCATTAATTTTTAAACAATAAATTAAGAACAATTTAGATTGAGAAATAAGATTAAAAAAATTAGTTGAATCCTTTTATATTACGTCTATAAATACAAAAAAAAATAATTTATGATTAAATTAAAAAAAATAAGTTATTACCTCATAAGGAAACTGTAAGGATTATCACAACAAGGGAATTCCAAAAAAACAATAACAGGAAATTGCTAAATATTAAATTGGGAATACCTATATAGGAAATGCTAAATATGTGTGACAGGAAATAACATCATAAAAATCAAAAAAGTACAGCACAAAACGAAATTAAAGTGGATGCACTGACATGCATGGAGTTTCGTCAGGAATTACCATGCAGTCAGTGCAGGAGCAGTTTCAGTGGTATGTTACCGCCAACAACCATACCCCCAGTTGCCCCAAGAAAAATAAAAGGAAACCAACATCAATCCTGTATATCTCGTAAGCAACATACCGCAATCTTGAAAATAGAAGTAGTACTACATAAAATCACCAGATAGGAAACAGAATTTTTCGAATTTTTCAAAAAGTTGTAGGTTAGAGTATCATGCAAGTATGTGGGTTCGAGTTTGTGTAAAAAGATGAAGAAAAATAATTAAAAAAAAAAAACTCTTAAAACATTAAACTCAATAAATTATCCTTAATAAATCTGTTAGAAATATAGGCAGGCACCCGATTATGTTTCAATGCAATCCAACCGAACCTTCAATGATTGGGTAGGCCTTCTGCAGCTTAAAGCTGCGCATTGCATCGCCTCGGAAGGTATTCCACCGCTGAATTATGTACCTGTCTATAAATCCAGGAGAAGCTTACACAAAGACTTACAGTTTTTTTAAAATAAGTATATCATTATTGCAAATAAACTTAATGCAATTAATTTAAGATATAATAACATTTCTATAGATACTAATAGATATAATAGAATTCAAAAAAATTTAACTTGTTGACAGAAAATTAAAAAAAAATTTCTTTTTTCAAAAACATTAAATATAAACGTTAAATTTCGTTTTCTAGAGTAATAAATAAATCAAGAAAATCTGAAATTGAATTAGATTGATTAGTTTTAATTCGACCTAATACCTCTGAATAAATTGTGTTTGCAATCTTAATAAAATCTAAACAATTGAAAATAATATAGTCAAACGCAGAGCTATAAGCTATAAGCAGAGAGCTCGCCGCACTTAACTATACTCAATAATATAGTCATCAATAAATCTGAAGTCATTCAAGGTGGAAATCGTAGCATTTTTTACAAAGAAGTGTAAAAAAAGTTTAACAAGAATACTTGATAAATTGTACCTCTAGGTATGCCAACACTCTACAGAAAACTACGATTTAAGATAAAATTATTTAAAATACAAATATTAACAATATATTGCCAGTATTCAATATAGATGTCTAGAATATTATTAAAATCATAAAAGTATGGAAAATACTCGCAAAATCGTCCTTGAAATAAAAAATGAATCTAAATCAAAATAAATCGAAGGATCAAAAATAAATCTAAATAATAACGTCGTAACTAGAATTTTATTTCTATAAGAACACGAAACTATTCCTAAATAAATACTTAACGTAAACCTAACTATTCAGCACTACTTAAACTATTGCTTAAGCTACCAAAATGAATATAATTAAACACTATTAATTTAACGAATAACACTTTTTTAACACTACTTAAATTATTACTTAAGACAGCCTTACAAAATTAATAATAACTATACGGAAAAAAAGTCATTTTAAACCACCAGTTTTTAATAATATATTTTATATTTACTTTATATAACAGTAAGGAACATTATTTATGGGAGGATTCGTTGAGTTTAGCTATGTCCTAAAGGCGTTAAAGACCGCCTACTTCGGTGGCAATCTCCTGACCTCTATGGAAATCCATTGTAGGCAAGCAATTGGGTGGCATCAATGGGTGTGACGGTTAAGCTGATGAATATATAAACTAATAAAACTCTACCAGAAAATGTCAAAAATAAGCAATGCTTTAAGGGTATGACGCTTTACTGGCGAATCCTTTTATTAAAGCAATTTGAAAGAGAACAAAAATGACTTCGTAATCCGATATACTTTTTGAGTTTAAAATAGATAAAAGACTTATATTGGAGTAAATAAAAATAGTTTTGAAGCGAAAAGTCAAAGATCATCCGCTGAACTGGTGGAGATTTTATTTTTAAAAAAAAATTAAAAATGACAAATAAGCTTCTTATTTATGGTAACTCATTCTTGAGTTTTATACGAAAGTAGAAATTTTCTGACTACCAGTTTTTTGTAGTAAATTTAATATACTCTTTATATAGTAGTACTACCTCTTAGAGGGCGGGTTCGGCGAGTGCAGCTACATCCTTAAGCGTATAAGACCGCTCTTGAAGGTGGCAATTTCACGACCTCTATGCAAGCCCATTGTAGGCAAGGAAATTAAATCCATAACGATTGGGTGACCTAACAAGTTAATCTGTTGAAACAAATAAAGCACTATTACGAAAAATATAAAAAAAAAGTAATGCTTAGTAAGGATAACGCTTAACTCGCGGATCCTTTTACAGCCGATTTGTAAAAACAAATATGAATTCTTTCCCCCCTAATCAGATTTACTCATGAAGCATAAAATAGACAACGGATTTACACATTACTAACGAAAATTGAATTTTGATGCGTAAATCATACTAGTTTTCAAGTGGAAAGACAAAATTATTTTAGGTCAGGTTTCTTTAATTTAAAAAGACAAATACTTTTTTTTTACCTAACCCATTCTTGAATTTTATAAAAAAAGAAGACGTCTTATAACATGACTTCTTGCAAACAAAACAAAAAAAAAATGTTAATGCCTATAATACTTTTATAATATAATACCTTTAAAAGCAGTTTTCAAAAGATGGGAGCATAACACAGACCTAAACCTTAAGCTTTGACAACAAACACGTATAATTTTCATTCACAATAGAGTTCTTAAAGCAAATTTACAATTTTGTCAAGCGACAGGAATAAACGTAAATTATTATAAAAGTTTTCTTTGTATAACTTAGAGAAATATATATTTTTTAAACTAAAAGGACTGATTGTAGACATTTATGATGTTGGCTGAGCTAATCTAACACCGAAGAAAACAGTTTTCTAACAAAAATTAAAGGTATCTGTAAAAGAGTATTCTCGAGGAAACAATCATTTTGATATTACCATGCCGGTTTTAATAACACAACTTTATTGAGGCAAAGCACATGGAGAACTAAATGACATAATATATAAACATAAATATTTACTAATCACGCGACTTTGTGCCGCCATCTATATTTGATTTTGAGAACTATTTCCCACAGAAACAGTATCTAAATATTTATATTAAAATAAAAGTATAACGTTTAAATAAGATGATGTCTGGATAGGGTCCTTCACAAATTGTAGCAATAGATAAATTGCTGTGTAAAAGAGTTTAAAAAAAAAGCACTTAAGTGTTTTGGCACATGCCCAAAAAGTAACTGATGTAGAAAAACCGTACTGTTATTTTTTAACAAAAATTAATTAGATAATTTTTTGAAGCTTAATCATGCACCCTTGAAATAATTTTTCAACTATTTTAATATTTCTTGTTTTTTAAAAGAGAGATTAACGAAGAAAACTAAGAAAAATAGTAATAAGTTTTATTTACTGAGTATAAGCTGTAAGCTCATAGAACCCATAAAATAGGTTATTTTTGTCACACTATTGTATTGATATATTTTGCTTACTTTGTTTAACCGAATTTTTAATTTTTTTAATTTTAAATATTTTGAAAAATACTTTATTTATTAATAATTTTCCTTCTCCTTAATAAATTTAAATAATTTTTGCCCACCCATGATTTTATTATATTGATTGATGTATTTTTGCTTCGGGTCTATTAATACAATATTAGAAAACACTCCCATACTTCGGATATAACCCTATGAAATGATGACGAGATTACATCTTTTTCAAAATTATCACCTCGACGGGACACTGAATTTCGAAGGATCTTTCGAAGCACAGGAATACACAAATTCGAGTTCGAATTTACGTTAGAAGAATTTTGTTGAAAGATATTAAATTGAATTTACAATGAATGGTAACGCCTACTTTCCAGACAGAACTCTAATAGGACTGGCTTATATGTGGACCTCGTTACGAGACCCGCTTTGCAGTTTTATATTTTTAATATGTTTTACTCTTTTGCATACAAAAACAAAATAATCAAGATCTGAAATCTCAATAGAAATCAAATTTTAAATAATTGATAGAAAAACCACATCTAAGTAATATTAATTGCTTTAATAAGAGATAATTTCGTTAGAATGAAATCTTAGTTACGCTTGTAAATTGGTTGAATTAAGTCACAAGTCTACAGTACGTCATCATTTCGTTATCCAGTGCAAGAACAAGTTCCAGTGCAACTATGAATTTAAACAAATTTTAATGCTCACGGCAATGATTATATTCATTATTTTATTTCCTTCGAGGGAAATTCTTATTTTTGGTATTCTAAACAAAGGGTAAGGGTTTTTGAATTCACTTGTTTGTGAAACATCTTTTTGTTCTAAGATGAACTTTACAAAGAGGTGCTTCATTTACTAATGCCAATTTAGTAAACTGACTAATGCACTTCGAGCATAAATATATATTTTCAAAAATTAACTAAGAAAAGGAAAAACAAATTTCTCATTAACAGAAGTTCAAATGTTCAATGCATTTAAATCATGGTAAAACGATGCAGTCTATTTGGTCTTTTCTTCTTGGGTGAGGGGGAGTCTATTATAATCCCTAAGTCTATTTACTTCTAGGGGTTAATTCCTTTTTCTGATTCCTTCCTGATCCTCAGCGGGGTGTCACGAGAATATTTTACTTTTCTCCAACCTTTATACATAGCGTAACAATTCTTATAAAATATATGATAATTCAAAAATTGAACATTAAGTATCCCTATAATTAAATAGAACAATAGAGGTGGACATGATCTGCAAGAACAGATACGTACTTGTGTTGATCTATCCTGTCGTCCACGATGACAAATGCACTCACAAAATGCAACGAAAACATTCCCTTGCCCATAATCCTGCTTGGATTGGTGTTTGTCTTCAAGCGTTTTATGCAGTATCCATCAGTCCATCCATCTGATACAGCATAAAAGGTGATTGGTAAAATATATTTACCCTAGAAAAACTCGCGATACGCGATTTCATGCGCGAATGGCTCTTTTTTAAGCGTGTGTTGTTGTCGCCTTTTATGTATTTAGCAAATTGTGGGCCTCAAAGCTTTCTTTCAAAAATTGGAGGCATGCATGATTCAATTGGAGGCATGCATGATTCAATTGGAGGCATGCATAATTCAATTGGAGGCAAAGAAGGTTGGGAACAGCTGTTTTATCTCACCACATCTTTGATGGATTTTTTACTCTCACGTAAGGAAAATTTTTGATTAGTTTATCATTATTTTATGCCAGTGAACATATATGGTTGATCTCAGCAATCTGATATTTGATCTTTATCATTTCTCGCGATTTCTTTTTTAACATCAAGAGCTTTTATGATTCACCTCTTACTTTTACTTTATTTATTCTTTTTAACAGTTGTTGTCATTAAAGCATAGGGGGTGCGATTGCTCTTGTTTTCCAATGGCGCCATCTCTGACCAAGAATTTGACTTCTGCCTTACCCATACGTCAAACCCGTTTATCTTTTCACAGTTAAAAGAGCAATCTTGAAATTTCAGTTGTAGCATTTTGCTGCTATTAGTAACTAAAATTTATCTAATTCATTGAAATTTGTTCAGTTTAAAGCCTAAGAAGAAAAAGATGCATATATTTAATTAATAATGAAATCTTGATGAATCAAAAAATTTTAATTAATGCACACTATTAGGCAATATATTGTATGGCCATGTTAAGTTCTTTAAAAAATAAAAAATCTGTAACATGTTTAACTGCAGCATTTTTATTTTTATTCGATTTAGTTGTTTGAACATAACGTTACCATTTACGCGGCATCAGTATTAAAATAAAGTGTTAGAAGTTATGACGCATCAGCGTTAGCGTTCGAAGTTACGACATGAAAGGAAATCGTTAAAAATTAAATCGAATCTCGAAATAACATCAAAATGTTTAGTTTCTTGCTTCTAAAAACATAGTTTACTCGAGCATTGTTTATTAAATTTATTTTCTTCCAAATTTACATTTCTTCTCGAACTTGCATGAAATTTCCAGCAAGCAAAGTTTGCAACTTATGCGATGTTACGTAGTCCATCAAATTAAAGCCGAGTCTACTACCCGAATATTTTTCTTGAGGTTCTGTCTTGCTTTGTTTGTATATCAGGAAGGTATATCTGTGATAATGAGTATGATCTAAAGGAAAAATAAAAGGAGATAATTAATGTATTAATTTTAATTCTTTCTCAAGTCAGATTTTCAGGGTGTTATATAACCACCACTTTCTTTCAAATATGAAATCAAGTAAGTAAACATAATAGGAGTTAATTTATATGTTCACTTCAATTAACTAGGACTACGAATTTATATGTTCATCAATTATGCCTTTCATTTTTCAAAAATCAAATACTGTTCATATCAAATCATGTTTTATCGTTATTTTTAATTTAAGTCTACAATCAATATTTCTAGTGTTAAGTGAAAACGTCAATTCGTCATATTAAATTTTTTCATTGTTTTATTATTTCACAAGCAAACGGCTTGATTTTTTTTATGGCTACCACAATGTATTCGAATGAACTTCAATGTATGTCATAATTAAATATGTGCTAGTTAAAATATAGAAATTTAATTAGTGAAATATGTATCAATTTATGTTAATATTTATTTATGTCAACTTATGTATATATATGTCAAATTATGTTTATATTTATATATGTCAACTTAGATTTGATGAATCAGATATTCAAATGTTATATTTACTGAAGCAAAGTGCTTGTTTTTCTATTAGCTACCACATCGACTGCTAAACATGGGTGAAAGCGAGACGGAAAAGAAGAAAAGCTGGTAGTAAACCCATTTCAGTTTTAACATGTTTTCGGAAGGAGTTAAACTGTTCTCTTTTTCAATTATTCAGCTATATCTACTTTTCTATAAAGAAAGAAACTGTTTTTTATGTATGCTAAAATTGTAAAAAAATTACGGTAGTTACAGAAATTTAATGTTTCTTGAAAAAAAATGCTACAATGAAATGCCTTTCGTACCAGTTTTTGCTCTTTTCCGTCTCGCTGCTATATATAGGCTTTCAGCTCTGCTGCTAAATTCAAAATGTTATTACTATAAATTTTCTGTAAATTTCTAGATGCATGGGATAGAGGCCGCTAAGTGCCCCAGGTGCCCAATTTTTTTAAATAAAGTAAGTAAAAGTAATTTATATGTTACACAAATTAATATTAAGCGAGGATGAATATGTGTGGCCCAGACTTCCGGTTAAAATTTTATGACCATGATCGCTGTGCTAATGTATTGCACAATATGTAATGTGATGTAATGTTTGCAGCCGAAATTTGCTATTCCGTTAAAGGTTAATAGCTAGTAGTGCATTTAATCGAATTAAATGTACGTTGCAAGTATCAATATTAACATGCCATGGGGTGTCACCGGTGACCGGCACTGAGTTTGTTAGTAGCACCACGGGGATCACCGGTGGCCAGAGAAGCCAAGATTATTAGAAACACATAATTCGAGTATATTTTTAATATTATTATCGTTACTAAAATGGTTTGAAGAAATTAATGCAATATAGAACAGACAAAAATAGTTTTATTTATATACACAGAGATGTCAACTTGCTCCGGACAGCGAATAAATATTTTCATGTGGTAGTTTATCGTAATACCAAACCTCTTAAAAAACTAGCAAAATCTGCCTGCAAATTTAGTTTGTAGATATTTACCGTGTGGCTAGACGAGCAAACCATGTAATATTAGCGTGGCATTTAACGTGTTAAAAAAGAACATACTTGAGAAATGAATAATATCAAAAACTAGATGATTTAAAGTCGATTGTTTTATTTATATGATATTTACAATTTATTAAATAGTGCACGGACACTACAGGCGACAAAAACTGTAAAAAGTGGTGTTTAATAAATAGCAAAAATCTATTGAACGAGTTTAAAATTTGCAACTTCTTCTAGCGTATTTTCTTTAGTTTAGTATTGAAAGAGTATTTAAAAATTGTTTTCACTTTAAAGGTGAATAATCTGTCATGTAAGTCATAGTGGTAGTGGCATATATTACACGGTGGTTGTTACGATTAAATAGTTAAATAAATAAAGATTAATTGATTTTCTATCACTTCATGCATTTTTTATCGATTTACATTATTAGATTATCATTTATTTTTTCTTTGCTTTGTCAAAAAAATAAATGAATAGATTTCTCTTGAACATTGTAGATTGTCCCCATAAAGCGTGAAAAGATGAATGGTCAGTTCCTGTGTAAAACAATATATACCGCTGGACAGTTCTTCTTTAAATTTTACTTATACACTAGGCGTAATCATTATGGGGCTAAGACTCGAACTTAGGGCGAGTCAGCACATATTACAGACGTAACTTTTTAAGACATCTCTTCACATTCAGATCACTGAGCAATAAAGTGATTTTGAAGGGTCTAAATTCGCACAACGTCAGTTTAATATACCAGAATTATACAGGACTCGTGAAAATTAAAAAGAATAGTTTAATTTTAATGTGTTTTCAAAAAAGACTAAATTAAAAAATGGCAAATGGATGACGTCACATTACTAATTAATTTGGATACATGAATATTTTTTTTTGAAGAACAATTTTCGTGAAATAAATTTGATAAACGGAGTGAAATGCTATGTCCATTTTTTAAATAGCTATGACCATTTTATAGCCCACACATTGCAAAATATGTCCATGTCATCGTGAATGATCGAAATCAAGAGAATGTTGACTTTCACCGGTGAATATCAACAATCACAAAGTCGCTTCAGTGAATGCCCGAAATATTTGTTATATCCGATTTACTGATATTAATTTATTCGTTGATAATATTATATTTGTTCGATATTTTAATATCTGCTGAGAGTAGATAGGAGGAACATCAGTGCTCGAAGTACCAGTTAAATGCCTACTGGGCAGTGGCACTTAACCTTAGAAAAACAGAGCATACTGGGCAAATGTATACCTTGCAGTGGTACTGAACCTTAAAAAACATTGATGTCGGGCATAGCGGGTAAAGTCACTTAACTGGATCTAGTACATATTTCAGACATTTACCAAAGCGACTATGTGATTGTCATTTATCAACATACACCGGTGGGAGTTAACAACCACCAATTTCGGTCATTCACAATAACATCTATTTTCTTAAACACACATTTCGAGCTGTGTACAGGATAAAATCTCGCTGACTATATGATTTGATCACTTACCTCCGCCTTTCTCAGGATGTGGTTGCATATAATCTGTGTTTACAAATCCATAATTGATCGTGTTGCCAGGAATATTGACAACTACCCAGTGGCGAACAAAGGCGAGAGAATGGTTGAAAGGAGTTGGAGCATCAGGATCTGTTTGAAAAGTTTCACTTTGAGAAAATGGTATAATGTCAGAAATTTTACTTTCAAAATTACTTATGCGTGGTATATCAAAAGCATCGCCCTTAACGTACATTTTAACAATTTTTATCAAAAATGAAGTGAAAGGAATAAATAAAGAAACCGTTATCGAACATTGAAGAATCATCAGTGAGGTCAATCACATTAAAAGCGTTTTAATCGAATTGATTTACGTATAAATCTGAAAGGTGTTTTCCCCTTCTTTCAGCTCCATGATAGTCTTAAACGGTAGAGCGCAAAAGTTGGCAGGTAAATATCTCTGATGATATATCAGGTCATTTATTCGTAACTTGGAATTATTTAAAGTGATGGTCAACATTAATTCTAAGTTTAATGTTAAATCTCAAATTAAAAAAAAAAAAAAATTCATAATTTATGAGCATTTTCCGATTAAAATCCGATGGAGCTCAGAAGTCTACACAATGGTCAAGTAGAGGATGGCCCCTATCTGAAAAATCTTAAATAGGAGCGAAATGACACCTTTCAGTGCACAAAAAGCACACCAGCTACTTGCTGCAATTGCAGAAAAAATCACACCTCTAATTTCTCTGGGTGCGAGGCCCTCCCCAGCAGAAAGAAAATCCAGAAAAAAGCCCAGACTCCTGCATCTTCAGCTCACCGTCTTGTGATTCTCATGAAAGAATTGCAAGAGCTCATGAAAAATCAAGAAGTGCTTAGCCTACTACAAACTCTTCTAAAGGGGTCCTCCCCTCCACTCAACTGATGCTCCACTCCCACAATCCCTGCCTGACTCCAACAATGACTACTACCTGAACTTTTTAGTTCAGTACTTAGACTAATTTAGGACCTTTTATCTTTACGTCATCATAGTTTCGATGAATCGGTTAGAAGCGCTTCGCGCTTAATGCCGAGTTAACATCTATTTCCAGCATAAGTAATTACTAGTTCCTTGAAACCAGCTCTCCCGGTTTTTCTGGGAGAATTTTATGATTATGAAGTGAGATTTTGCCATGATATTTCATTCTTCATTTTAAAAATTGACTGGTTTATTATGATTACCATTCATATTTGCCAACTTTTCCTCATTTATGCTTAATGTGATAGTACAATTTCTACTTTCATGCTTCACTTTTGTTTTAATAAATTTAATTTAAATTAATTATAACTTCCACTCTGTTCAAATAAATTAAACATACAAGTATCAGACCTGCCTCATTTATTTAAATGTACAAACAATCCGATATTATTCAATATATAAAAAGAAATCGAATGAATTCGATGGCCCACGCGATTCGAATGAGTGTTGACAATGCAATGAAAAAGATATTACTTTTTAGATCCACTGGAACAAGAAAGCGGTGGAGGGAGCGGTTGAGATGGGCTGACTCGGAGGAGTCTGATTTTCTTGCAATTAATGAAAAGAATTGGAGATCAAAGATAAATCGGAAGTCGTTGTGGAGAAATCTTCAGAGGAAGGCATTGACCCAAATAAGGATGTCTGGCCAACTATGATGATGATGAACATAAAAATTAATCATTTTATTAAAAGTTAAGCTCTACGATAAAGAAAATATTCTTGGATCATATATAATGTCATCTTCATATACCTTTTGAATGTTGCATAAAGAGTGGTTTATAGTAATTGTAACTTGTTTATATAAATGATTTCTGAAAAAATGATATTTTATTCAATCAGTCCTGCGTGGATGTCTCATCGTACAAATTATAAAACTACATCGATACTTCGAAAGACTTAGTGACGGAATAACTTACCAATCATTAAAAGAGTGTAAAGCTCATTTTCATTCGCTGAGAAATCAACTTTGGGTGGATTAGATGTAAGATGTTGCTGTACTTTTGTTCCACATTCAACACTTATATCTTCATATTTGATCTATTTACAGTGAAAAATCCCAATTAATTACAATCTAAAACCTCAATTATTTTTTTTATCTCAAACTTTTCAATAGATAATGCGAGTATATATTGATTTGACAGTGGTTAAAGTTTTTATATACGCTGAAATCATTACATTATTTCCGAATTTGACCTTAATAAAGCATTTTTTATTTGAATTTTTTATATTAGAATATTTATATTTATTCCCTTTTTTCTTTAAAAAAATTGGAATGCTAAATTTAAGAAGAATTCTTTTTGAATGAATAATTATTTTGTAGTTTTCATTAATGCAAATATTGAATTTATTATAATATATCATTGACCTTGTTTTTTTTTTATTATTGCATCTAAACTGAATATTTAAAAGGCAAATTTTATGTATTCGTGTTACGCTTCTCGAACAAACACATTACGCCGTAATACTGTGTACCAGACTCAAGCAAACAGAAGCTTATGGGGTGAATGCTCCGCGTGTTCGGAATTCGTACTATGTGAAGAATAAAATAAAATTGATTTAATGGAAACATTCACATCAATCATCCCCATCAAAGAGTAATTTTATAATTGTAAAAAAAAAATAGCGTCCTCTTTATATATATATATATATATACGTGCGTGTATGAAATATGTAATAAAAGATACTGCACCAGAAAGAATTTTTCGTAAAAGAAAATAGCTTAAATATATTCACTTAGCCGTCAGAATAGAAATAGATGTCGATAAAAAAAATTTAAAAAAAAACTAAAACTTAAGTTTTTGGAACTATTTGTCCTCTACGAGAGAGTTAATATGTCAGTCAGACTGATAGCCTCATATCTCAACTCTCAATTTATTCTTCATACATTTATTTTTCAAACATTTTAAAAAGCCTCTTCCACATAGTACAGCCTCTTCAACATGGACCATGGGCTCGAGCCACGGGTGACGTAGTAATGGGCTCGTTCACGGCTCAGTACCATGTGGTCAGTGGCCCATGGATTGGGAACCACTGTTGTAAACGAAAATATTAATTTTACTTTAATAAGAAGCTATACAGAATTAAACAGAAAAGAAAAAAAAAACATTTTTAAAATGATACCTTTAATATTTCTTGTGGAGCTGTAGGAATGAATTTCGATACCAAACCAGATCTTATAAACTCCACGCTGCAAGACTCAGAAAAGACTGTGTATGGAAGTAGAACAAAAATAAGATAAATTTCAAGAACTACCATCTTTAAAAAAACAATCTTTCCTAAGAGTACGAAAAAAAAAGATAAAGAAAAGTTTACAATCAACTCTGATAATTAACTCTTAATCTGAACTCTAGATTTAATGCTTTTTTTTCTCCTTAGAAAGAACAATTTAACAGTACATTTTTATGCTTTAACACCCCATAAAATCTACAAAACAACTTACTTTTTTTGATGTCTCACCTGTTCTTGCTTTGAGTTTTTCGTAACCGAGTAGAAGAATCATGATGAAATCAGCAAAATGACATTCGTATTATTTCTGATACAGCTGTAAAAACGAGTTTTGTAGTGGTCGTGCATGACTTAAGACTTTAAAAGCTTGAAGTAAGAGTAATAATATTTAATAACATTTATCATGATTAACCCATTTATCACCAAAACCAATTGATCGCCAAATTAAATTAATTGTGAAACACTGAATATACAAGTTGTTTCAACATGAAGGTTAAAAATTTCAATGAGATATAAAAAACATCTATTTGTGGTACTTCTCACAGGGTATCTGCTACATTTTAGATATTCAAATCCATGACTAATTCCAAGTATTTTTCACGATTGAAAGAAGTTACCATTTTCTCCGACGAAAACACAACAATAAATTTAAAAAAGCATTATAGTAACATTAATTAAAATCATAGGTATAACCAAAACTGTTAAACCCTGCATCCTCATATATTTACAAATTTTAAAAACAGAGTAAAGAAAAATACAAAAGCAAATCATTTCTTTTTTTCTGAAGAATTATTTCTAGATACTTTTCTTGTTCATCGGAAAGGAAAGTAATACTTTTGATTTTTCTGCACTCATTTCGGAATAAAAAAAATTCGCCAATGACTGGCTTGCTTCAACTAGAATTTTAAATTGATAAAATAAAAAATAATAAAAATTATGAAACAGAAGTTTAAAGGATAATCCGCTCCAGAAATGTTTTTTCTTTCATTTTTTTAAACCGAATTTTTAAAGAACATACTAAAAATATTTTATATTTCAATAAACTAGGACTGTGAGTGGAGATTTTGTTAGAAATTCAGATATTCGGAACACCATGAAATCGGGGGGGGGGGGTTTTCATTTTAAAAATGNCAACCTAAATCCATGACTTTTCATGATTTTTTTGAAAAAATAGTTAAAATCATGACAAATTTTGTTCAATACCAAAATTCATGACTTTCCAGGTGCGCCGTGTTTTCTGTTAGTCAGCATGTGAAAAATTGCCAAAAAAATATATTTTTTAAATTTGATTTAATTTTCATACCTTTAAAAACTAAATAAAATACGAAATATTAAAAAAAGACTTTTTGGCAATCTTTCACTTGCGCTCAGCTAACCAAAAAGTATTAATAATTTTATGTTTAAAGTGCAAGAGAAATTGCTGTGATTTAAATAAAAGATTTTGTAAAGCACGTTTGAAAAGAAATTTTGCACCGTGTAACCAATACGGAAACTAACATTCCAATTAAAATGTTTCTTACAATTTCAATTTTCACTAAATAATTTTTTAAGATAGCATTTATCAAATTTTTAATATTTTCTTGAAATAATATTTAATTAATAATATATCTGACTCGAGAAAAAGCGATAAAGAAAATCATACATTTTCCTTAAAATAAATACGTATGACAAGGAAAATGAAAGTAGAAATGTAGGATTTGCTACTTCTGTTTAAAGAAATAGATAATTTATTCTCGTCAAGTTTAAAAGTTAATAACGAAGTTTATCAAAAACTTTTTAACAGAAAAACTAAAATGTATAATGTGCACAATGGTTTTTGCATCACTTTAACCCATATTCTAATTGTAGACATGTTATTGCTGAAACTGAAGATTATTTTTAAAATATTGTTTTATATTTTCTTAGCAGCGCCACCATCTACTGAATTTTTTTTTAAATTGTGGGAAAATAAATTCTTTAGTTTCCTAAGCAAAACGTAAAAAAAGGGTGCGCTACTGAAAGGGTACGTACGTTCTAGTTCAGGGCTGGCGAACCAATGGAACCTTAAAAAGATATTTATTCCAGATTTCCTTGGATCAGGGGTGATTGTGAGCCCAAGTCAAAATTCTGGAAAATTTCTTGAGTAAAAAAAAAAACAAGTTTAAATCGAAAAAAATTTAAACAAGGTTTTTTTCCTTTTTCTCAATATTTATAAGTTTACTTAAAATATATTTAAAATTTTACACATCTATGTCGACCTGGATAAGTAATTGAAATTTAGGAATGTCTTTCTTTCTTGAGTTTATGATTAAAATAACTATTTACTGATAAAAAATTAATATTAATCTTGAATATAAGTTTATAAAGTATCTGGCTCTCTCTTTTCCGGAAACTTCCGGATCACGGTTAGCAAAAAATTCGGATTTTTTCCGGAGTACAATCAGCCCCGTTGGATAATAAACCTGTATCAATGTTTTTCGCCTTCCTCTAATTCTTCTAATTTCAATAAAGTTCTCTTTAAACATTATTTACGATTCTTATCTATATACAGTAAGAATTCATTATAACGACAATTTATTAATACCACACGAAAATGTCATTATAGCAGCTTGTCATTAAAGGTAAATAAATACATTCATTGTTAAAATAGCAATAACAATTCTAAAAAATTAAATAAACATATTTACTTGTTTTGAAAATGTCATTATAGCAGCTTGTCATTAAAGGCAAATAAATACATTCATTGTTAAAGAATAGCAATAACAATTTTAAAAAATTAAATAAATATATTTACTTGTTTTAATTCGAACAACTATTTTGATTTAAAATACATATCTGGAGTAGATGGCTTTTAACTGCAAATTGTGGACTGAATTAAAAAGTTCTTTACTTCATGTGGAAATTTCTACAACAGGAATGAATTAGCAGCAAGTATACAAATCGCTACAAGTTTTCTCAAGAATAAAACGAAAAGGAGTGAAATACCTTTTGACGTCATTTTAAATTTTATTTTATGACCTTCGTTGAACAGTCGACCCAATTTTTCCGGTTTACGACTACTAATGTTCAACTCCGTAGCCTTGTAATTTTGAACCCAATTCAGAATACAAGGGAACTCCTGGATCAAGTATTGGAAGAAATTAGCCTTCATGGAGGACTTTTTGATGGAACTAATCTGCATTTGGTTACATAGAGAGGAAGAACACGAGAACCTCCCACTGCTGACGGCAAGGGGACTCTAACCCATGATCCATCTACCACTGAAGGATATTTCACGTCGGCACTGTGGTCGGTGCCAACCGGATGCAGAATTCGTGTCGACCAGTCACAGCTGGGATTCGAATCTGGTTCACCTCATTGGAAGGCGAACGCTCTATCTCCTGAGTGACGTCATTGATAAATGTCATAATGTTGATTTTAATAGTAAGTTGTCATGAAGAAAAATAAGAGGGCATGATAGTCATGTGTGGTTAACAAAAGGTGCATTCTTTTAAGATGCATGATAAGTTTTCTAAACAATTGCCACTTGTTAGGACGAAGATAAAAAGCATGTAAAGTGAGAACATGCAATTCACCTAAGAATAATTTTTACAAAATGAATTTCATTTCAAATTATGAAAACTCAATCTTTTTTTAGGAAAAAAAAAATACTTTCTAATAAATAAATCAGGATATCTATAAAGACATGAATATATTTTTGTTTCACTGTTAGGAGTAATGACTTTTGTAAATCAGGCGTAACATTCCTTTAATTTATAATGGAATTTGCAATTTTATTAGAAACTAAAATATATATTTATAAATATACATATGAAAAAATAATTTGTAAAATCATAGTAATAGAAAGTGCCAAAAAAAGACAATACCTTGACAAGATAACCACAAATACTCTCAATAAAAAATCTGTGATATTTTTAACCTAGTTTTATCCAAATTTGTTGATTTCTGTAACCAATGGCATAAATTGAATTAATTTTTCGGTTATGTCTAATTCTTAAACATAAAATATCTAATTAGTTAGGAGTAATGACTTTTATAAATTAGATATAACATTCCTTTAACTTATAATGGAATTTGTAACTTTATAAGAAACAAAAGTATATATTTATAAATATACATATGAAAAAATAATTCGTAAAAATCATAGTATTAGAAAGTGCCAAAAAAAAAAGACAATACCCTGACAAGATAACCGCAAATACAGAAAATAAAAAATCTGATGTTTTCAACCTGGATTTATCTAATTTTGTTGATTTTTGTAACCCATGGCATAAATTTTACTATCAATTTTTCGGTTATGCCTTCTTTCGATTATGGTGTTTGTGCTGAATTGTTACCCACCTGAACTTTAGACCCAAACTAATTGATTTCTCCTGACATCTTGGATATTTTAATTAAATTCCTTGACATTTCCCTGATTTCGTTATTTGTGCTGAACTGTTGTCTACATGAGATGAAAGAACCCGATTGAGAGAAAAAGATGATTCTGCATAAAAAAAAAGTAAATTTTCAAGTGAAAAACATTATCAGTGAGATATTCACATTTTTAAAAAGTTCTTCTAACCCTTCATATTTTAAACTTTGCATATCATAATACCATTGCAATTAAAAAAAATAATAAATAAAATAGTTTTTTTTAAGAAGCATAAGAAAATTCATAGCCAAAGATCTGGCAAATTTAACTAAAGAAACTTTGCATATCATAATGCCATTCCATTTAAAAAAGAAAGTTCTTTTCTTATTTTTATTTTTTTAAAAAAAGCATGAGAAAATTCATAGCCAAAGATCTAATTAATGAAACTTTTTTCAATGAATGGATTTACAATGAAATTTTGAGCCATACTATTTTCTGCATTCAAACTTCTTTCCATACAATAAAACAAAAATACATTAAAGTGTATGCAAAACTAAAAGTCAGATCTCTTAAAAATAGATAAAACCAATTCAAACCTAATTAAGTCCTCGAATCTAAAGAAAAGTTTGCAAGCAAGTTAAACAACTATAAAGTTTTGTTTACAAATTGGAAAAAAGTATGAGAAAATTAGAAATATAAAATAAAAAAAATTTATAGTATTTAAAATATATGAATTTATTGATGAAACTTTAAAACTATTGAAGTTAAAATTTATAGTAGTTGGGATTTTTTGGGCACAGAATTCTCATACTTAAGAACAAGAAAAAAAGTAAGAAATATACAAAATTTTCAAGCATAAAGAAAAAATGTAGAACACTTGCGATATCAGTAGCTATAGGACAATGCTTTTTTTTTTTTAAATATAAAAATTTCTAATTATTAAAAATTCACAAACTAATTTTTTATATCATTTTTATTATTATTTCAATATCTATAAAAAACTGGCTTAACAATATATGGATTCTTTTTAAAACAATGTTAACATTAAAATTTTTCTCAGGAATTCAATTTAAAACAATGATTCAAACCAACTAATTTTAATGTACATGAAAATTAATAAGAGAATAAAATTTATGAAATATACATACAAAAATTTTGAAAATACTAACAGTAAATTCTAAGCTATTTTTTACTTAACATAAAATTTTCAATGTTTATTTGGCTTCATTCAGTACAAAATATATCAAGCAAATAAATTAACTTTGAAAAGCAATTTATAAATTTTTTTTATTTAATCAACAATGCAAACACTAGCGATACCAGTAGCTATGTGAAAGTTTTTTTTTAAATGTCTAAATTTTTAATAACGAAAAATTCACAAACTTATTTTTTATATCATTTCATTATTATTTCAGTATCAATAAAAACCTGGCTTAGCAATATATGGACTATTTTTAAAACAATGTCAACATTAAAACTTTAAAAAAATTTTCAGGAATTCAATTAAAAAAAAAAATTATTCAAACCAACTAATTTTAATGTACATGAAAATTAATATGAGAATAAAATTTATGAAATTCATACAAAAATTTCAAAAATACTAACAGTAAATTCTAAACAATTTTTTTACTCAGCATAAAATATTCCATTTCAATTTGGCTTCATTCAATACAAAATATATCAAGCAAATAAATTAACTTTGAAAAGCAATTTATAATTTTTTTTTATTTAATCAACACTGTAAATTTAATATAACAAAAAAAAGAAGAAAAAAATACACAATTTAAACAATTTTATCTAATGAATATATATCACAACTAAACTAATAATATAAAAGACATTTCCAATAAGAGTTCATCAATATGAATAACACAAAATATAACTGCCACCATCTTATTACTGAATATAAAAAGTCTATTGAAAACTCTGAAAATATTGGGAAAGGTACGTCAAATTGCATCGTTAAAATATAGCAGCCATTATAAGTTAATTAAGTGTATGACTAGACAATATAATAAATAAGAAATTTTTACAATTCAATTCCTTCAAAGAATTTAAATATAAAAAATTTATGCATTTTTTTCAATACAAATCACAGTCAATGGAATGGTAAAATTTAAATTGTGTAAAAAATTTTGTAAACAGTGCAATATAAGTATTAATTAAAAATTCTATATTCTATAAAGACATGGTCTCGATCAGTCTCTCTTCTTAACAGTTGGCATTTTCTTTGTAGGTGCGGGTAGTTTCTGTAATACAAAAAAGTACAAAACTTTAAAGATAAAATTTTATAAAAACAATCCCTTCATAGTGAATATTAAAACAAACAAACAAAAAAATTCTATAATAATGTAATGAATAGTTTTTTTTCTTTTTTCGAGTCAACCATTTGTGAACAGTTGGTGAAAATGGCAAATTCAGCTCCCCACCCTAAATGCTTAATTTTATTAACAAGCACAAAATAGAATTAAAAAAAGCTAAATACTAAATTGCAAATTTAATGAAGAAATAGTTCTAATTCGATGAGGAAAAACTATATCACTGAACTATTTAAATATTAGGAGAAACTATATCGCTACACTATATAGTTAATCACTATAATTATTGTTGATGTTATCAATTAACTAATTAATTTTTATAACTAATAATTTATTTTAGTTACAGTTACCTACTGCTGTTATATTAATTAAAATTAGGGCAGTATTATAAGATACCAAACTGATAAAAAACTGTACCAGTGTACCTCAACAAGATTCCGGTAATAAAAGGTAATATTAATCCAGACTATGACTATATCAAACGCTTTGGAGAACTTTAATTGAAATAATAATTTTATAGACTAAACAGTGTTGTTTAATGGAGGTGTTAAACTTCCAATATTAAATTTTAAAAAATTAAAAAGTTAAGATTTTTAACTGTAAATGATTAAGATAGACTTTTTTAAAACTTCAAATTATCACCCTAAAGTTCTTTCATTACTCGCATAAAAGTGAAATTCTATCTCACCGGGAACAGCAAACAGCAGTTTTAACCCAGCCTTTAGATGTTCAGAATTGTTAATAATCTTTCATCAAATCAACTTCAAACATTGTAAGACAGCTAACATTGAACCAAAGATTATTAAATCTGATGGATACTTACACAAATTACAGAGACAAGAACTTAAAAAAGAACATTTTGACAGATCAGGAGTTCCTTTTCATGCTAAATCCAAATTAACAGAATTAATTTCGAATTTGCAGCTATTTTCGGCATATCACAACAAATAATAGGTAAATGTATTCTTAAAGTCCCTCTGATAGAAATAACTCAAACTATTCCTGTACCGATTGTGCCATGTGAACATGTTTGTAAACAAATATCAGACCTCAAATATACAGGGACAATAGAAAACTCTAAATGTCTGTATTCATTTTCGCTTATTTTATTACAAAAAAAAAAATAATACGCAAATAACGCTTAATAGTTGATTATCGTAAATTAAATTACTGTTTCATCTACTAATAAACAACCACTTGAGATGCCAATTACATATTTCCTAGCTTTTAAAATTTCTTTAACTTTTTTTAATCATTCTTAACCGAATTTTACTTAAATCAATAATTCAGTTTTTATTACAATTTATAAAAAGTGAATATAAAATATTTTATTCCTTTTCTTATAGATCAATGTAACGGCTAGCTTTTATATTCCAATACTAATGTAAGACTCATTAATTCACTGTCTCGGCTAAATTGAAAACAAAATTCTATTTATAACTTTTTAACTCTTTATTTCTTACCACAAAAATGTTTCAGTTACATGGTTATATCAAATTTCTCACAGTCTTTTTGGCGATTCGCTTTCGCCAAATTATTTTCAAATTTATATTGATTAGGGGGGGGGGGTTGGCTTTTTTGTTTGGCTATGCTATCTTTCGATAAATCACCAAAAATGGATCTCCTCTCATGCTCCTAACTGCCCTTTGGGAACAATTCAATGACTTTCTGATTAATTAATTTCACTTTTGTTTAGGTAGGCCATGGGCGATTTATCTCCCAGGGCCTGTCCTCATTGATATTATTATGCAAAATTTAATATTTAACTTAAGTCTTATTATGGATAAAATATAATTTGTATCTCCAGTTCTACAAACACTAAAAAGTGTTATTATAATTATATTATCTTCAACTGCCATTTTCATTATCTTGTTTTCATCACAATCTTCAATTATTCAATCATACCATACAACTCCAACCACACCTATTTTCCCTGGACTGACATAACATACCAAACGCGAAAAGAGTGAGTACTTATAGCTTGCAGTTAAAGCACATATGAGCTTATAGGACATACTGATGGTTTTTATGTGATGCTCAAAATATGCCTATAGCAGTCTAAGTGTCAATTTGATTTCAAAACGGAGAGTTTCTAAAGGCGCTAAATGCAGTTGCAACAGTCTCCTAATTTAAAATTACTCAAAACATTTTTAGGCCTTTTGGTAACTTAGCAACTAGAATATTTTGCCCCTTTTATAAAAATATTAAAGGTAATGATTAAGCTTTTATTAGCTGATCATAGCTAGCCTATTAGTTATAAGTATTCAAACTATAACTTCTACTTTCACATGATACCTGGAACAAATATTTTGGAATTGTTACTACTTTATAAGTTAAACCACTATTATTGATATATATTACAAAATGATTTAATTTTTATAAGTATGAAAAGCTCAAGGTGAAAACAGACTATAGAACAAATCACTATAGACAAGTAATTAAATTAATTGCTATTAAATTCAAGTATCTTAATATAAAGTTGAAAAGACCTATTAATGAAGATTTAAATTTGATTCTTTAGCTTTTAACTCTTTTTAATTTTTAAAACTCATACTCATTTTTGAGAATAATATGTAAAATGGCAGTATTGTAGTGAATGCTGAACCAAGAGATTCTTTTTTTTTTAAGTTTCCGCAAAGAGTTTTATTAGCTAATATTTCTTTTTAATTTCAAAACAGAAGATGCCAGTGCATTTCAAAACAGAAGATGCCAGTGCATAAACGAACTCAAAATGAGTAATTATAAAGTTTCAGCAATCATGCCCTTGGTCACACAATTGTAAATCCTAAAATTCCAAAACCTCTTAGCCTGATGACCTTGTTAAAGGATTGGTAATTTTAATAACTTAATCAGGGCAAGCAGCCAAATCTTTCAACAAAAAATAAGCACCTTTTCAGTACTTTTTAAGCACTCAAAAAATATTTTTAAGTACCACATACATTAACAAATTACAAAATTATTTTTAGACTTTACATGAATTATTAGACTTTACATGATCATGATAAAATAACTAATTTTTGACAAGGAACTTTTTTCTTGATTATATTAGCCATTAAAAAATGATGATATTTTTCGACTATTTCAGAGAGTGGAAAATGAAGCTTGAAATTGAAAAGATCTTGCAAAATGCAGCAGAATTGCACATGAGAATGTAATAATCTCACCGAACCCAGCTCGCATGGGGACTCGTAAGTATTTCATCGAACCTGTAAAATGATTGTTGCCTTCATAAGCTATGGATCTCGATGGTACACTAAAATAGATTGTGGTTGAATGAATTGTGAAAACAGTGAGTAGGAAAATCACACTTTTGCATAAATCACACTTTTGCATAATACGTGGCGAAAATCGACATGGTTAAAGAAAAAAAACTTATTTTGGAAAAGGGAAAATTAAACACTTTTAAAAACACCCAATGAAAGAAATCACCTTTAAGGGCTTTTAAAAAACGAAAATAAACACCTTTAAGCACTTTTTAAAAACACCATGCACCATATTAATGGCATTAGCTTAATTCTACAATAAAAATTAATTTCAAATAGTCTCTTAGTGAATAGATATAAAGTAAAATCTACTAAATTTCCTCAAAACGTAAATAAAGAGCTTGGTGCAGCATAATAATAAGCCATATTTTTGAATGGAATTTAGAAATCAGGAGAGGAATTAGAACTATCTCGAACCAGGAAAACAATTTCGTAGAAAAACATTCCGATCATCAAGAAGACAATAGAATGTTTCTATGTATAGTGCTCTTACCCAGGGGAACCCTAAAAACTTTTGAGTTACCTGCCTGGAAACAATACTGAGCTTCAGTTAGATTTTTTTTAAATGTCAGCATTGAAAAAAAAATGCATCTTGCCACATTATTTACTCACATTCTACACACTGACAAATCATAGCAGAAAATAATCAGAAAAAAATAACAAGATTAAAAATTGTAGTACTTATATTTTTAAAATGTTAATATTTACTTTTGCATATTCTTTCATTTTCTGTCTATTTTTCATCATTTGGTCTTTCCTTTCTTCTAGTCCCTTACGACTTTTAACTTCTTCAAGATTATTATAAAGACTAAAAAAAATAATAAAATAAAAAATAAATGTATATTTACACTTAGTATATAGGATGAAATGGAATAAAAAAAAAAAAAAACAATGCAATGCAAGCTAAAACTAACCGTTTGGTTCGAGCTTTATATTCTTTACCAGGTGTTTTCTTACAGGGAAGTTTAACTGTAAAAAGAATTCAACACATATTTTAAAGCAAGTAAATAAATAATTAAATATATAATGAAAAACCCAAAAATTAATCTTCATTCAAATAGATAAATTCATTTATGTAATTATCATACACCCCAATATGTAAGTCAAAACTCTCTATTTTTCATTCAAATTTTCAGTATGTCAAGTGTATAGGTTGACAACTGAAAATAAATATAAAAATTTCTAAAATTAATAAGCATGAAAAAAATTATGAAATCTCAAATTTTATTAAGTTAAAAATATTTTACATTATTCTCCCTGAATATGATAAATTTCCCCTCAAATAGAGATGTTATTGCTACAATAACGTTAATGTAAAATGCTCAAATAATTTTAACGTAAAATGTTCAAATAATGTTGTAAAATCTTTTAAAAAGTGTTATATTTTGAATATTTTGGATGGGGTGAGGTGAAGACGATTTTTGTAAGGCCCAGGCAGAAGAATCCATTGCAGAGTATAACCTGTATGATGACACAGCTAATATTTTTGAATCTGACACAGATGAAATTCATGAATTATGATATTTGTAGTCATTTCGGTACATTTTAAGTTTTCACTGTTGCGTTATATTTTTTGAAATTTGAGTAAATTATCTTACCTTTTCTCATTATTATTTTGAATGCAATTTAAAGTATTGTTTCCCCCCCCCCCCCAAAAAAAAACTTCATATGTAAGAGAGAAAAAGCAAAATTAATAACATATTAGAAATAGTTTTGAAAGGGGTAAATTGATACAAAATTATCTGAATCTATCTCATTGTTAATGATGCATCTATATTTCACGTTCAACAAAGTCTGTCTTTATTACTGGTGTTCAGGCAATTCCGGACTTTTGTCATATTTTGGGGGTTAAAAGAGGTGATTTATTCAATGGGATATATTATTGTATATATATATATATATATATATATAAACTGCTGTTTGTAGAAAATGCAACACCATGAAGGAATCATCAGAATCAAATGAAATTCGCAGCAAATGTCAATTATAGGATATTATGCAAATTAATAAAGTTTCAGAGCCATCGCGCGTGCGTGGCGCGCGCAGCGCCCTCTGAATTGATGCTGAAAGCGTATAAATAAAGTGCTGTAGCGGGACGTTGAAAATAGTCTATGATTATTTGTTAGTGGCAAACGTTTAGTGAGACCTGAGTATGCCTCCACGACGGAAGAATAAGAAATTCAAGCAACTTACGGAGTTTGAACGAGGGAGG